TTTCAGCAACAACAAAAGCACACTCGGCGCTTATCTTAACTTGACTTTAACGTTTTATATCTATGCATGGTTGTATGTTTGTATGCATGTAGGTATGTAGCCTTCTTTCAATTTATACATAGAGTTGATGATAAGTCATCTGCTTATTCTCAGATTACCGAGTTATAATCAAAAGTAATTAATAATTATAATTAATAATAATTTATATTATTTACTTCTGAATAAAAATATTAAAATTGTATTTATTAATTCAAACTAGTTATTTAATTAATTATTAGCAATTGATGATAATTTAGCTTAATAATGCTTGTAATTTGAGGCTCGCATCATTTGGGCGATTTAATTGACAATAATGATGTTGTTATCAATGAATACAATACAAAACAATGTTAGTTTATTTCAATTTTTTGACCAGTTCCGCTGTGAGTGTAAAATATTTAATTTTCGAAACTTTTCAAAGTTACTTCGTAGCAACAACACAACAACAGCACCACCACCACAACAACAACAACAACAACATCGTCAATAATATTAACAACAAGATAACGATAATATTAATAATAATAACAACAGCAATATTAAAGACAACAAAATGATGATAGAAACATTGATTTATCAAAATAAAATTATAAGCGTAAGAGGTAAAATAATGATAAATTTCATAAAATCATTGTTTCCGAAAAAAAATTTAGTAAAAAAAATACCTTCAAAATATTTTTGAAGCACTAATCCAGTTCTTACTAGAAAATAATATCCGACAAACACTTTAAAATATTAACTTACTTTATGATAATTTTAAACACTATTAAATCATTTCCAAATACTTCTAAAGTAATAAATTAAATTATTTCAAATTTACATTTGGAAAAAATAAATCACTTTTAAATTACTTTAAAAATACTTAAAAAATACAAAACTACTTTTAATCACTTCACTTTGGATACTTAATGACTTTTAACATACTTCTATAACGCTGAATTACTTCAGAGTTACTTTATGAAACACTGTTTGGATGCTGAAATGAATTCAAAATACTACATAACTCCAAAATGCATTTAAAATACTGATTTATTTCTGAAAAAAACCTTCACAAATAGCTACTTCTTTTAAGAATACAAACAATTTTCAAATTCTAATATACCGTTAAAGTATTTTTAAATTTAAAGACAACTGCTGAGTTACATAGTTACTGTTAAAATACTTGAAAGAATGAGGAGTGAATTGCTCGAGCTCTTAAAGGTTGGATGGTTTTTTCAATCAAATTAAAATTCAATTCAATCGCTCATCGGTCATTATGAATCAGTAAGTGTTTTATTGATTGTTTATTGTTGTTGATGTTGTTGTTAGCGTTGTTGTTGTTGTTGTTAGCGTTGTTGTTGTTGATGTATTGTTGTTGTTGATGACGATGATAATGTATTGTTGTTGTATTGGTGTTGTTGTAGTTAGTATTGTTGTTGTGTTGTTGATGTTATTGTTATTATTAGTGTGCTTGTTTTTGTTGTTGATATTGTTTTAGTTAGTGTTTTTGTTGTTGTTGATGATGATTTATTGTTGATGTTGATGATTTATTAGAGTTGTTTTTGTTGTTGTTGTTGATGATGTTATTATTATTATTATTATTGTTGTTGATATTGTCGATAGTGTTGTTGTTGATGATGGTGATATTGTTGACATAGACTCTAATAATGATGGTCATGTTGTTGTTGCTATCATCATCACCACTCCCACCACCGCCATCCTCATCTTTATAGCCATCATATATAAATAAAATCATCATTATCATCATCATCATAATCATCATCATCATCATAATCATCATCATCATCATCATAATAATAATCATCATCAGCACCATCATCATCATCGTCGTCATCATCACCACCATCATCATCATCACCACCCTCACCACCATCATCATCATCATTAGCGGCAAAGTTTTTTAAGAATTTTGTTAATTCGTCATTGTACGCTTTTATAACAATGCTCTCGGATGAAATCAATACTCATCAAAAATTGAAGTGAAGTTCAGTTAAAATTTTTCAAATTTAAATATATTTGAAAATATGTCTGTATGTATGTTGGTATGTGTGTATGCGAGTGTGTGTATGTTTGTCTGTTTGCATGTTTGAAAATATGTCTGTATGTATGTTGGTATGAATGTATGCGTGTGTGTGTATGTTTGTTTGTTTGTTTGTATGTAGGTTTATTTGTTTGTAGGTTATACAGTTATATAGTTTGTATGTAGGTTTATTTGTTTGTAGGTTATGTTTGTAGGTTTGTTTGTATACGTATGTGTACATTTTAGGTTCGAAGTTTTATGTTTGTGTGTGGTTTTCAAACTTGTATGTGTTTTTCAGAGGTTTTTTGAATGCTGATAAAATATAACTGTTGAAATAAATAAAATTCGCCCAGACACAAATATCGATCCAGCAGAACCATGAAATATTTATCTGAACTCCTTTCACTAATTCAAATGAAATTGTACAGATAATTAAAAGAGGATGAACGAACCCCATATAAATTTAACTCTGCACATCCTACAAGGCCAAAAAACTGAAAGAAAAACAAACAAAAAACATACATGAACCATACCAACGTACGAACAAATGAACGAACGGACGAACAAACAAACAAATAAATACATTTTTTTATTAAATTGAAGAACGAACGAACAAAGAAACAAATACATTTGTCTCATTAAATTTTTTTCAAATATATGAACATACATGTAGGGTGTAAATGATTAAAAATGATTAGAAGCCGCTGTTTGAAATGAAAAAATAGAAAAAAATATCAGTTTATTGGGATGGTTCAGAAATCAGAACAATTTTTCTCACAACGACGACATAATTTGAATGGTAGGACAAAAGAGACAGAAGCACAAATTGAAAGATTACAACTACACCATCATTATCATCATAATAATCAACAACACAAACATACACAACCACATCAACAAAAATAACAACAGCAACAAAAATATGGGAAACAACAACAACTTAAACAACAACAACATCATCATCGTCATCAACAAAAACAAAATCATCAACAGCAACAACAAATCGTCAACAACAACAACAAAATCATCAACAACAACAACATCATCGTCATCAACAACAAAATCATCAACAACAACAACAACACAAACAAAAACAACAGCAACATCATCGTCATCAAAAACAACACTATCAACAACAACAACAACACAACAACAATAGCCACGATAAAAGACAAGCGCACCACCTAACATTTATGCTGACAACTTTGATTACCGCAGCTCCGACAAACAAAACGTCATCCGTGACGTCATGATGACGTGTGCCATGGTGCAAAAAACAATGGCGGCCACAAATTTATGACGCGTGTTTGACGATTTCAAAAAAAATTTTTCTCCCTGACAAGCTGGGCGGAAGGGTGCCGACGTGAAATGGAAAAAAATAAAAATGACTTGAATGATAAATATTGATTGAGCAAATTGTAACTGTCGTGTCTCATGCTATTCTGAATACTTTCACTGATACCTTTGTTTGTAACATTCAGTATTTATACTGCATTGTATATTGTATTTCAGTTTAAAATACAACCGACTGCATACATCTTCGTATTTTTTTACTATTACCTTGTTGGGTTATTTTACTCTGTAATAATTTTACCCTTGTTTTGTTTAGTTTGTTATGATTAATATGATGTATATATTATCTTATTAGGGAGTTTCACTAATTAGTTAAGAGGAATATTTTACTATTTTACAACTTGGAAGTAATAACACACACACACACACACACACACACACACACACACACACACACACATACATACACACTCACACACACAACGTATGAACATGATAGGCGAAGATCTTGTTTTTTTTGCATTCAAACCCGGTCACTGCAGTGCAATCCAATGCAATCCCAGCAATCCTGTGAAATCCCATGCAATCCCAGCAATCCTGTGAAATCCCATGCAATCCCAGCAATCCTATGAAATCCCAGCAATCCCATGCAATCTCGTAAAATTCTAGCAATCCTGTGAAATCCCAGCAATCCCATGCAATCCCGTGAAATTCTAGCAATCCTGTGAAATCCCATGCAATCCCATGCAAATCCAAACGCATTTAACCATCTACGTGTTTAATATTCAGTAATATTTTGAATGTGACTTACTAAGTCGAATAGTATTTTTAGTAACAAAAACAAAAAGTTAACTATATTGGTGTTAAAGACGAGCAAGTCAGTCACTCTGGCTAATGATGGCTTTGTGTATGTAGTTGTTTTTAATGTTGTTGATGTTGTTGTTGATGTTGTTGTTGTTGTTGTTAGTGTGGTCAATGTTAATATCATTTTGATTGGTGTTAATTTTGTTGCTAATGTAATTTGTAATGTTTTTGTTAATGTGGTTTTTAATGTTATTGATGTTATTGTGAATGTTGTTTTGATACTGTGTTTTTGCTGTTGTTTTATGATATTATTATTTTGTGTGTGTGTGTGTATGTGTGTGTGAATATAGGTATGTATGTATGTGTGTATGTGTTTGCAGGGCAAATATATACAGTACGTATGTATTTATATGTGTAAGTAGTGGTTATAGACCTGATCGTAAAACAATGCTATAAGCTATAAACATTACGTTTGTAGATTGTTGTTGTTGTAGATGATGTTCTTGTTGTTGTTGTTGATGATGCTGTTGTTGTTGTTGTTGTAGTGGATGTTGTAGTGGATGTTGTAGTGGATGTTGTTGTTGTTGTTGTTGCTGATTTAGTTTTTGTGTAACGAGATGAGTTCGAAAATGTAATCGTTAAAGTTGTTAACGTTAATTTTATAGACATTTTAAAAACTGCTTCACTAAATTGAAAAGTTGTTTGGTAGAAGTATTATATAAGAAAGCATTGACGGACTCAGATTAAAAAACTACAAATACTCTGTAGTGTATCTATAAGTCGTCCATGTACCTGAAACCATGGGGTGATAAGTGGAGGAGTTTTTAAAGCGCTCAGAAGCTCGCCAATGATGTGTAACAAATTTTACCTATACATTTTTAAAACATTTTCCAATTTGAGTGAG